GAAGAATACTTTCTTCGTGTTAAAATCCGAGGATATTATTTATTTAACACTCGAACTGTACTTTTCTTTGATTTTTTATTGGTTTCTTTGACAATATCTCTGATGAAACGTCATTTTTATTTTTAGTTATTATATTACCTACGAGGATGTTGTTATTGGAAAGAAATCGAAACGTACCTAATCTTTTTTTTTGTTACTATGCCAATTGCTTGCAATGCTTTTATTGCATAATTTCCTCTTTGTAGACCAGCTAAGCTACTGTATACGGGTATACAGCTCAATGTATACTAGTTTCAGTTAGACCAACACAGCCCTGAAATGAAAACAGTCAACTGTTGTCGGCGGTAACTATGTGCCTACACCACCTACATGCCTACCCACATCGTAGGCATAATATCAAGGGACGTTGATGAATGCGGCTATTGGGCTAACCAATTGTTGCCAATTTGTTAGTGGTCGGATCTGTATTACCTACATTGTTTACTAAATTAATGGTTCAGCTCTCAGCTAGAGCCTGCGTTTGATGCCTGGAATTATTTGTTTTAAAAAGTACGATAGCGTATTGTTTGAATCATTGGCTCGATTAATTTTATGATAGGAACACTTGCCAGTTTGAATTCCTTAAGGATATTTTAGTTCTAATAAACAAGACTTAAACTTGACAGGAATGGGCGAGGGCCAAGTAGAAGAAGACTTGGGGTTCACACAGAATAAATGTCTTTGAGAAAGATGGAGTACTTAAAAGTTCCACATTGAAAGAAAGAAAGAAACGATTTATCGGATCATCGACATTGCACACCTTATAGTCATATAGCAAAAGTTGAAGTTGTAGTACCTACTTGTCATCAAAGAACTGATAAACACAAGGGTAAACTTCTTGAGTGGAGACTGCGACTCAGCAAGGATCGTATGACGTCATCTAATAAGATGGAGTAAGGACTGGCCAAATATTACTGGCAGAACCTATCCAATAAAAAATCAAACCACTTTGAAATAACACATCGGCTACTGCTGAGAAGAAGTAGCGAAAGAAACTCCGTCACTTTTGTGAGCCTACTTGCAGACATCCAACCGTTGCAGTGCTGCCATGTTCAATATTTCGCCCGGAAANGTGACGTTAATCCGAAGATTAGTCCTCTCTCCCTCTCACGTCATCAAATAGAGAGCGACAAAAATTGACGGGGAACAAATGGTGGTTTACACGTGTTGACATTTGGTGCACTATCGTAGCGGACCTCCTATTGCATGGGTTGGAGGTTGAAAAATAATTGATATTTATGTATTATCATCACTTTTGTTCACCATGACAGTAGAAACTACAGTGAATTGATTCTCATTTAGAATTTTCACATAGTTAAAAGATGTCCTTAACTTTCAACTACAAAGACTGCATAGTCTCCATTGTCTCCAAATGTGGATTAGTTCATGTTCATTACAAAGGACCCACATTAGAAAGTACCGAAATCTAAAACGTTAAAATAACGGTATCGTTATAGCCAATGAGCTGCAGTCATTGTGACATTGACGTAATGTCAAAGTCACACTAGAAACGTCAGATTAAAGGGACGCGCGTGGACGACTTATTATTCGTTCGTTTTTCGTTTCAGTTAAAAATAACGTCCACTGCTGGACAAAGGCCTGTTTTACTTATGAGAATAGATCTACCGTCCTCTAACAGTAGGTACATACAAAGGATATTGGATTATGGCTTAGAATATCGCACCATGTAAACCCCCACACCCGTGAACGTTGTCGCACAAAAGCAATTACCTTCTGTCAACGTTTATCACATTTGTAATTTCATTTTCCTGTACCGTTTATTATATGAATTGTTTTGTGTAATCGTGAGTGGCGGAGCGATGTGTCCAGTCCGAGTGGTGTTGGTTCGAGTCGGGACATGACAAGTGTCATGGTGAATGAGATGGACAGTGAAGGGGAAGAAGGAATGAGTGAGATCATACGTTTTGCTGAAGGTTACGGTTAGAAATGATTGGGGTGGACCCGGATGGCTGTAGGAAAAAACAATAAGAATTTCAAGATAGCTGGAACGCTTCTTTAGTGCGCTAAAAGTCATAGGTTGACCCTTGCACGGTGCAGTTTGTGATCCAGCCAGACATATTTTATAGAAGAATACTTTCTCCGTGTTAAAATCCGAGGATATTATTTATTTAACACTCGAGTTGTACTTTTCTTTGATTTTTTATTGGTTTCTTTGACAATATCTGATGAAATTAAACAAAGCTTAATTTGAAGACTTTATATTTTATAGTAAAATATATGAGAACATTCTGTCAACGCGACAAGGACGAGAGTGCCCATAGACAATATTAGTAAGGAGTTTCTATTATGCGTCCATAAATCCAACAATATCTCTGCTGTAACGTCATTCATTTTAGTTATTACCTACGAGTATGTTGTTATTGGGAAGAAATCGAAACGAAATCTTTTTTTTTGTTACTATGCCAATTGCTTGCAATGCTTTAGCTTTTATTGCATATTTCCTTTATGTAGGCCTGCTAAGCTACTGTGTGTAGGTATATGGGTACACAGCTCAATGTATACTAGTTTCAGTTAGACCAACACAGGCCTGAAATGAAAACAGTCAACTGTTGTCGGCGGTAACTATGTGCCTACACCGCCTACATGCCTACCCACATCGTAGGCATAATATCAAGGGACGTTGATGAATGCGGCTATTGGGCTAACCAATTGTTGCCAATTTGTTAGTGGTCGGATCTGTATTACATTGTTTACTAAATTAATGGTTCAGCTCTCAGCTAGAGCCTACGTTTGATGCCTGGAATTTTTTGTTTTAAAAAGTACGATAGCGTTTTGTTTGAATGATTGGCTCGATTATTTTTATGCTAGGTACACTTGCCAGTTTGAATTCCTCAAGGTATATTTTAGTTCTAATAAACAAGATTCCAACTTGACGGGAATGGGCGCGGGCCAAGTAGAAGAAGACTTGGGGGTTACACAGAACAACTGTCTTTGAGAAAGATGGAGTACTTACTTAAAAAGATCCATATCGAAAGAAAGAAAAAACCATTTATCGAGTCATCGACATAGCACACCTTATAGTCATAGAGCACAAGTTGAAGTGGTAGTACTTGTCATCTGTCAAAGAACTGATAATCAAAAGGGTAAACTTCTTGAGTGGAGACTGCGACTCGGCAAGGATCGTATGACGTCATCTAATAAGATGGAGTAAGGACTGGCCAAATATTACTGGCAGAACCTATCCAATAAAAAATCAAACCACATTGGAATAACACATCGGCTGCTGCTGAGAAGAAGTAGCGAAAGAAACTCCGTCACTTTTGTGAGCCTACTTGCAGACATCCAACCGTTGCAGCAGTGCTGCCATTTTCAATATTTCCCCCGGAAAATTATCAGACATCAAAGCCAAAACGTCGGTTTACGTACCTAACTATGTTTGAGCTGAACACACATCATAAGCGGGTTGACAGTGACACAATGCGCGTAGAATATTAAGCGCGGCAATAATTATATGCGCCCGTAATTTATGGCGACGGTCTGTCGCGTGCAGGGCACGCAGGGGCTTATTGAAGTAATCGGGACATGCAGGGTTATTATGAAATTATCCAGAAATCATAGGCAGCGTCAAAGTAGCCACAAAGTTCGCAACACGTCTTTGCTAGACGTGTTTTCATATTTTTGGGCACTTTGGGTGACTCTAGTAGTAATTTGTATTGACTAATATACTGCTCCATCTAAATATAAAAATANAAAGTACGATTGTTTTAGTATTCGGTTTCTATGGTAATTGAATTACCGACCGAATCGGCAGTCCGATATTGAAAGCTTCCGAAACTCGAAGGCTTTGGGCTATGTCACCCCATCAAGTGATGTGGATAGAGACCTCATTATTTGTCAGAAAATAATAGCATCTAAATGACTAAATATGTACTTAGTAGAGGCAACAAAAAAGTATTTTTGTAGATAACGGATAACTTAGAGACACTCAAACTGTAGTGGAGAAAGTTCAGAATCATGACGGAATTAAAACAATGAAAGAAAAGAAAAAAAATGGTGCATGAATACAAATTTTCTTGCTGTGCACATCTGAAACTGTTCTAATTGTACGTTGAATATTGGTAGGGTAGGCAAATGGAGGATTTGTCTTCACTCCACTGGCCAAACGGGTTGGGGAGGCTTACAATGATGTATTTATCAACCACATAAATTGTTGTCTAGTCTATCGTTACCAAACAAACTTGACCCAATTCCCTGAAGGGTAATCAAACATAATCATACACATTGATTATATTACATTATATTACATTCTACATTATAATTTACCCACCACAATCGAAACCATCATTACATAACGGCCCGAATGTTAGGCAATAACCATTATTTGCGGCAAATCAAAGGAATTCAGGCATATCAGCTGAATTACTGTGATTTAGATATATGTATTTTGTGACCACAATGTCAACACACACAGTTGATTCGCTTGCAAGCAGCTGAGTTGACTTTGCAAACCAATTTTAGGGACTCAATGCTACTGTTACGCGTTTCGTAGTAATTATACGTCACTGCAGAAAGGTTATATTTTAAGGTTTTTCTTTTTAATAGTATTTTTTCTAAACAATTAACTTGTATGTTGAATTAGACTTCACACATATAAGAAAAGTTTTGATTTCTGACTGTTAATGTTTATCAAAAGTTACAATCATCATCATCATCAGGTCATTTATTAGTCTCCATTGCAGGAACACGACCCTCTCTGATTCACCAATGATTGTTTTACTATCTAAAAACTTTAGTTTCATTTTGTAATTGCATACATTAATATTTTGTCTAACATTGTCTGTAACAAAATCGTTGAGAACCTTCTGCACTGTTTTACATTTTATTATTGTCCAAAATTATATTTTTCGATTTTATCTCTTCTACTATTCAGATTTGGACACAAAACAACATTCGACCATTGTCGTACTAATATTTTATTACATCGAACGTCCGAAATGACAGGGCTTCGATTCCAAAGTTTTCTTTGTCTTTTTGCTTTTGTTACAACGGTGATCGGTGAGCATGAAAAAGGTAAGGCCAAATTACATAAAAAGATAATTATAATAAAGATAAAGCCAAATTGTATAATAACTGATTTTGATGACAATAATTGACATACCGAGATCGAAAAAAGAAATGAAAAGCTAAAAAAATTCTGAAAAAAAAGAAAAATAAAAAATAAAGAAAACTTAACCCATGAGCTTCGTAATTGTATGCAAACTCAAACAACACCTAATACAGATCTAAAAAAACTACTTCAGTGCAAAAACACAAATTTCCTCGCAGAAACGCAACATAGCCACGTGCTGTTTGCTAGAATTGACTTTTTTTTACTTCTAAGTTAAAAAACTTTCTTGGCAACGGCTTGGCTTTTTTAACTCTGAGCCTTTTAAATTTTACACGGACGTTTTTGGGCTTAAGTTTATTAGAAAAGTCGGTGTTACAGGCAGCAGCCATCCATTGGTTTTTGAACTTATTAGGCACGTAAGCGCATTGATTTGAAGAGAGCCATTACCCACTTTTATCAGCGCTCTCGAAGATTCCGGATCGAGAACAGGGGTGTGCCCAGCATCGTAATTTTATCGAGAAAATCCAACTTGATTACGAACGGTTAGTCAATACGAGTCGTTTGGTTTAAAAAGACATTGAAAGTTGATAGGTTTAACTATTTTTGCTTATGTATAAATTAATTATTTTGTTAGAGTAAATAAAATTAAGATCAATACGCGTTTCATTAACGACTAATTAATTTATGGAAACTGACAAGAGGATCGCCGTGTCACATGATATTTTGATTAAGGTACGAGTATAATGTAACTATATAACGTATAATTTTAGTTGACGCAGTAACTATTTCTATTAATAAGCCCTAAAAAGGTTTTATCGCTGAAAAAGGACTGCTGGGGCTGCCGGTGTGACAATTTGACTTAAGAGATATTGTTATCTGTTTGATTTTTTCTAGATAGCCCCATAACAGCAGTGGTCAGAAAGACGCTAGTAGCCACTGCTCACTCCTGCATGGACCAGATCAACGCCACGGAGGCTGACCTGGAGTTCCTGAGAAGTGATCCGCCGTACCCTGAGAAGGCTGCTTGCATTATTAAATGCTTATTGGAAAAGGTACGTACCTTTTCATTGTATGTCACGGAAAATTTTGCCTTGTTAATATGTTTTAACTTTTATCCCATCTGTCTGAGAGAATTAATATAATGGCATTTCAGATAGACAAAGATTATTCCTTAGAATGAATGGAGACACAGTCACTCTTTTATGGAAAAACAATGAAATAATGTATTATGATTTGTTTATGTAAGTTCATTCATTGTACAGTCGCGGAATGAAAAGGTTCGTCACCTTAGTGTCGGTTTTCGCTTGCACTAGGTACTGTAAGAGTCAAACCTGCCAACATAACCGTGCAAGAAACAGTGCTGCTAACATTTAAATAAATATGACGTTTGCTAACGAATAAGGTTTTGCTTGTTTAATTTTCTCTCCCATCAGTGCAATGTTACAAAATGTAGTTTGTTTTATTTAATAGCTTAGATTAATAAAACCTAGATAGATAGTCAGTGCACGAAAGGTGAGGCAGTTTTTAGGGAGCCGGCACGGCTCACCCGTAAACGTCACATGAACTGTCAAAGTGAAAAATTGGTAAACACGTCCGACGAATTTTAATTAATTAAAACGGTTTGTGCTGTGAAAGGGTGTCTAAAATACATCAGAAAAACGAAAGAAAGTGACCAGTGTTACATTTCATAAGTAAGTACTACAATTCGACGTTTATTTTGCTTGAATTTGGCTTTCAAAAATTAAATACGGGAATGATACCAGTAACAAGAAAATTTATTTCCCAATTGTTCGCCGTACAAATACACTTCCTTTTTTATGAAATCGAGACTTTTAAGTCGATTTATCTTATTGTTATTACGTAGGTACTTTGAATTCAATAAATAAGTAAGTACGTGATGCGTTTTGTTTTTGTTAATTATAAAATAATTAAAAACGTATTAAAAATTTCCCTACTTTCGGGAAAATCGCCTTCACTGTCTACACTCCCCAACAAAATTGACACTAATGACATAAGATTTTTGCCTCACTCTTGACGAAGCGTTTGTATGAAGACTATCCATCTAGGTTTTATTAATCTAAGTTTAATAGATAATGGCAGGTTGAACCAACAAGAAGGTTTTGTTTATCAATCATAATAATCTTCTTGACAAGTTAAATCGTCAAACAACTTTGATCTGAATAATTTTGAACTTTACTGACGAACAGTTAAAGATTATTTTCTCTAACTTGAGATGATTCTGTAACATAGTTTCAAAAGGTAATATTATGTGCTCGCGATTCGTTGAAGGAATCAATTTGAAAACTGACGAACCTTTTCATTCCGTGACTGTACATTGTACACAGGAAGTTGATTTCCGGATTACGATCACGAAAAATGAAGCTAAAATTGATAAATGAGTTTAGCAACAAGATCATGATAGTCATAAATGGTATCATTAAAAACTTATTTAGACATTTAACAGTTATATAAAAGAGGCTGAGAAGAAACAAAAATTTTGCTTTTTAGATCAATCTTTTTAAGACTACATGCAATAGAACGTAACGTAAACGTAATTGCACATAGAAGAAGGTACCTAGAAAAGGCATTTCTATCTATGTCCGAGATTTAATTTTAGTTTTGAGGACCTGAAAAGGGATTATACTCATTGAGACATACGTGTTAAGTAAGTAAGTATTCACACATATACATTGGATGAACCCTTATGCTGTAACACAGGAAACCCTCAATTCCGTTTACTTCGAATCCTCACGGACACCACAATAAACATTAATGAGGTACTAACCGACGACAATGGTTTGTTCCAGGTTGGCATCGTAAAAAATAACAAGTATTCCAAAGCGGGCTTTATGACCGCCGTCACCCCCCTGGTGTTTAGGAACAAGAAGAAAATGGAGCATATGAAAACGGTAGCGGATAATTGTGATAAAGAGGTAAGACTCAAAAGAAAATAGTCAACTCAAAACTCCCGGAAAACTTACCTGGCCTAATTCACATATTTTGGCACAGTCAAAATCTCGTTGACGTTTAGAAGTCGTCCTATTGAAAAACAGTATTCACGTGTTATTTGTATAAAACGATTACTCGATAGGATCGCAACTCAGTGACTCAATGACTTGTCATTTGACGTTAAATCACTTGAACCAAACTTCAAAATAGGTAATAGGAGACAACGATTGAATACGCATAAAAACGAAATCGAAACAAAATCGGGTAATTAACACGTGAATACGAAAACTGACTCTAGCGATAAATCGCTTGCATGTCGTTGAAGTTTTGTTACGCGAATACGGCTACAGGCTAAACTATCAAATTACTGGACTAAAAGCTTTGTGCTTTTGCAAATTTTAAAAAGTCCCGTTGATCCCTCGTACTAAGCTAAATATGCTTGTGTTACAATGGTGAACCCACCCTCACATTAAGTAGTCCAGCGGTAACGGGGTTCCAACCAGCATTCCTCGAATCACGAGTCTGCCAAACCGACACCTTCACCGTTTTATTGATTAAATTGCTAGGTTATTGTGAAGTTGCACTGTTGCAGTTGTCATTACATACAGTATTTGGCAGTCCACTGCTGAACGTAAAAGCCTTCTCCTAGAAGCGGCCAGGCCTTGGTTAAATAGAGCCCACATCAATTTGAACTTTATACTGTGAATATACGGTTGAAAACCAATGACTTTTTTTTTGTAGAAATCTTTGGCGAGAATAGAATAGGCAACCATTTTTTTTTGTGCAAACCACTAGGGTCTGGCAATAAATACAATGTTATATACATACTTCTTCAATCTTTCTAACGTAAATATTTATTATAAGCTTTTATTTTACGGATTTATTAAAATTGTACAAGAGTTTGTGGTGTCAGCACATGAAATAAAGTATTTAATTTCTATGTAATCCAAACCAAAAAATTTCCACACCAGACTTCAAAAGAAGAACGCTCAAAAGGCAGTATTAAATTAATTACAATTGTGTCGCATTAAAATAATAAGATCCTATTAATAAATAATCACCACTATTATAACGGAACAATGATTAACGGACAAAACCAGAATTATTAAAGCTCGTTACGACAAAAGCTTTGTTCTAATTAAGCTTATTGTCGCCGACTCTATTTATGGAGTCCTTTTATCGATCATAGAGCCAGGATAATCAGTGAAAGTAATTATTATCATTTATGTGTGCTGTGAACAATAATACTCAACAAACATAATAAACATTATTAGACAATGGAAAAGTTGCCTTCTATGGATTTGGTTGCGGACAAAAAATTCAAAAAAGGAGATTTTCAAGATCACTTTGATTCTTAAATTTTTATGCTTAATCAGCTGAAAATTTTTTGAAGAAATTCATAAATTATATTGACCTCTGTAGGTCCTCATAGAGCAGAGCCCCTGAGGACAGCTAGTATTCTTTAAATTATCTTTACGACATGATGCATAATTTCATATGGCAAAGAAAATTTTAATGTAACTTCGAGGGTGCAGTAATAATTCCTTAAACTTGCAAAAATGCAAAGCTCCTACAGACAACGAAACACTGTTATAGTATGTATATTAAATGTTCTTTCTCAATAAATCTGACCTGTTCTTCCAAATTTCTTTTCATCAAATTGCGAAGCCATACATGTACGAAGCCCAAGTAAACACGGAGAGTCGATGAACCTCCGAATCCAGGTTGATTAAATAAAACCTTTAGGATTGATCCGCTCCCCAAATCTGGGGTAAATAGATAAATGACCAGACGGTCCTTTGATAAAAATACGAGGCGGTAAATGTTGTTTCCTGAGGTAAAGACAAGATTGTTTTATAAAAAAACAAATAAAATAAAATGTATGCAAGTAGGAACCAAAATAACACTTTTACACATTCCAATCCTATCATTGCTTCGGGACAGTAATATGGGCGCAGTGCTGAGAAGAAACAGCGCAAGGAACTCAGCCACTATTAATTTAAGTTCTTTATCATTCCGACAAGGAAAATTTACTTTCTCACACTTCCCAATGTATTGTATCTCCGAGACAAAAAGACCGTTTCAACTATACAAGACTCAAGAAAACCCTAGTCCACTGCTAACTATTATAGACCTGCACTGTAGTTGAGTTCGATTTTTAGCTATTTTAACATTTTCTACTGCCTTATTCTTTTGAACGAAGAAACGTCATGCTTAGCTTGTTGCATTTTCCAAGTCGGATGAATAGTATGACTGGCACGTACCAAAGCAACTCAACAGGGATCGCGCCAGGACCATAGCATTGCAATTGGCACAAATTATGACAGTGACAGAGAACCCTGAATTAGTGTACACATCATGTCAGATTGCGCTGGATTGGCGGTGACAGGCAGAGCAGGTGGGGGCTCAGTATCAGAGAGAATGCTTCAATGTAGTTAGCCTATCTAATCGTTAAGTTATTTTGACTAGACCACTGCTTATTTTTATTATACTTGGCTGAACACTCATGCAAAATTAAAAATGTTAAAATTTTGCCAGTATTCTTCGTATATATTTTTTTTAAAACATCTCAAAAAAAGTTCTACTCTACTACTGATGGACCAAACGTAAATCTTTAGGTCCATCATTAGAGTGGAGTGAATGAGTGAGTAATTAATTTTTTTTTTTAAAACCACAACGGTGAATCTTGTGAAAGTGATGTAAAGAGATTATTTTGCGAAAAAGATGAAGATCTAAGTACATTTCCATTCATTCTTCTTCATTCAGCCTTCCGTCTTGAGTCAGAAATTCGCTAGCAGTGAGACCACACCATTATCCCAGAGACAGGCATGTTTACAATTAACGCATGCGAATGTGTGATAACGCATCTAATTACACCAGGCACTGTAATTGCAATTTGATTAAATATTAATCAGCTATTAAAGCAGTACAAAAAGGACACCTTAATTAGAAAGCTGCACGACGAAATAATCCGAATAACGAACAATAGGCAACGGTGTCGGATTGCCACTTCAGTAGTTCGAAGGGTCTGTTCGATCCCGTATAGCGCTGGAGTATTGTGGTGAACCTCTTACTAACGGATACATTACTTGGCTTAGCTTGGAAAGGTTAGGGAATACCAGTTAGGGATAGAGATAGAGAAGGAAATAAAGAAAAAGAAAACTAGAAAGGATACTAGGAAAGATAAAACGATATTGCGAGGAACTTACAGGAAGAGATCAAATACAGCAAAGACAAGAAGACAGGCCAAAAGACAGAATGACATTATATTAAAAAGAAAAATATATAAGGAAATCATAGAGTATAAAAAAGAGGCCGTCCATGATAATACCTTTTAATAACTTGTGTAATGTGTACCCTAATAATATTGAGAATATTTTATCCAAAAATGTTTTTCTCATAATCCTATTGTTTTACTACGTGCTAAAATTATTGTTTTGGATTGCATTAATCTGCTATTTGTGAAAACTGCCTAACTGCCATGCTGTTTGTTTTCCATGTAAATAAATACATTCTAACAAACGTAAAACTACCGTGCAATGTCCATTCTATTTATAGTCCATTCAAACACAGTACCATCAACGTTTTTAACAATAAACATAGTATGTTACGATTATGATAAAGATCGTAAAAGAGTTTTGTATCTGCCCAGTTTATCTTTATGACGGTTATTTGTGGATTTGTTTTGTCCAACCAATTCGTTTAGTTTAAATTGAGGGGCAATTATTTGTTGGAATTTATTTGTCTGGCCAGTGCTTTGTGGCTTTAGTATATTTAGTAAATGTCGGTGGTTTATTGGTATAATTTAATATCAGTGGTAACAGTATCATTATAGGAAAATTATTGTTTTCAGCTGAATGTGTAACAATTTTAAAACAATCCTTTTTCGTAATGGACTCAGAATTATTTAGATTCAAGTATAGGTCGCGCAACGATAGTTGAGGCGCTATAAGTACACGTACGTATGTAGTATTTGATTGAATACAGAATACGCAAGTCAGTCAGAATATGCAAGACGTCTGAGTCAGCGCAACAAGCGTATACAGATACAAATCTTTGCTTCTCTTGATCGCCTCAAGTCTTGTTACGTAACCTATACCTACTTGAAATGTTATAACGTTTTAACAACTTTTGTTTTCTTTTTTCAGATTAACCATCACGTAGTAGCTCCATGTGAGCTTGGAAATGAAGTTGTCACATGCATCTTTAAATATGCACCAGAATTGCATCTAAAAGCGTAATAACGTCCAAGAAACATAAACCATTTTTGCTTATAAATTAGAGATGTCAAGACAAGGATGTTAGAAGCAACTGGAAATATTCATGTAGAACGACTATGCTAAACATTTTATTTTATCATACAGTCTTTATGTACAAAAAAATTCTAAAAAGCATTTTTTTTTAGAAAACGTTTCAAAATTTCTTAAAACCTATACAAATACATCTGTGATGGATTTCAAAAAAATTAAAGCCTACAGGCTTCATAATTTCACCAACCATTAAGTTGATACTATCGCAAAAGAAACACGATTTCAGAGCTGATGTGTGCCAATTTCCTCAAGTGCCAGGCCGCAATAAAAAACAAAAAGCGCGCGTCAAACGCGACGCGAACATGGCGGCTGGTGACGTGACGTTTATTTTAGCGGGAAATTGTTTTATTTTTCGCTAAAGTAAACTAAATAATTAGCATCCTATTTTCTATTCAAATAGGATAAAAGAGAGCCATGGATAGATATCAAATTGTCACAATTACGTAAGATAAATCGAATGAAAAATAACATAACGCACCTTTAAATTTAAACCGTTACTAAACGAAATTATGAAATTTTGCAGGAGAGCCAAAATAAGAAAAAAGTCAATGTTTTTTTTCAATACAGTCAAAGGAAATAGTATTTTAAGGCTTCTTAATGAGTTATATGATAGATATGTGCTAACGCTATGTTGTGTGATTTACAAAAATAAAATATTTTTATGTATAGTATTATTTATTTTGATTTATATAATTATAGTCACACTTTAACATTTACTATTTTTTCATTTTTAAATAAATTACTATTCAAATTTTAGTCCAAATAATGTTACTATATTGAAAACTATTTAAATTTCAATGATAATGGTGTTATTATTATACATTAAAATTTTATATCATAGAGTAGGTATTTGTGATGATGTTACAATATTAAAAAATAACAAACATTCGAAATCAACAATATTTTATTACAAATTAAAGATATCCATACTAGCATTTAGCTTAGTTATTTATTAATCAGTCTTAAGACATTTTGTACCTTTAAATCATAGGAAGTATAACTGATAACGAATAAGAAATAAACACACCTAGCAATTACAAAAAAAAACATAAAAAATACATTAAACTCAAGTAACAATCTCAGCATTATTTCCCTACCCTCGAAAGGTTGCTCACATACCTACCTTAAATCACTTAATAATAAAAATAATGAACAATATTTTGTGGCCACTGCTCAGAATGGATGTAAGGTTGAGTCTCGTGGTACTAAATAGCTCCTCCTCATAGACATAACCATTAGCCAACAAGTTCGGCGGAGCAGGAAAGCTCTCTCTGCTGCCTGGATTGACTATAAGAAGGCCTATGATTCGGTGCCTCAATCATGGCGGGAGAGGATCTTAGAGTTGTATAAGGTTGATGCAACTCTGAGATCCTTTTTACGCTCATGCTCATGCATGGGGCAGTGGACTACAGTCCTTCGGCAGCCAGGTGGTGGTGAGAGGTCTCCTGATCCATTGAACTTCATAAGGATTGAGCGAGGCATTTCCAGGGTGACAGTTTGAGTCCCTTGTGGTTCTGCCTAGCACTGAATCCTCTTCGCACTCTGTTAAAGGATTCAGGGCTTAGTTATCGGCTACGAAGAGGGGGTGAGGTCATTAGTCACCTGCTCTACATGGATGATCTCAAGTTGTTCGCAACAAAACGACAAGACCTGGTGAAGTTGCTAAAAACCACACAGGTATTTAGCAACGCCATCAGGATGGAGTTTGGTGTAGACAAGTGTGCAGTCTTACGTTTAGACCGGGAAAAGTTGTGAATTCTCCGAATTTACAACTTTCTGAGACAATGACACTCAAATCTCTGTCCGAAACTGAGACCTATAAGTATCTTGGTATGTCAGAATTGTTAGGTATATCGGTAGAAGACATAAAAAAATCGGTGAAAGAACGCTTTTGTAGCCGACTGACAAAAGTTCTTAATAGCCTTTTGTCTGGAGGCAACAAAGCAAGAGCTTTCAATGGTTGGGTGATGCCTCTACTAATATACTCCTTCGGCATACTAAGATAGACTCTGACTGAGCTTAACGCCCTGGATAGGAAGGTACGTCAGCAGCTCACACAACATCGCATGTTACATCCGCGGTCATCTGTAATGAGACTGTATATTCCACGGGAGTGGGGAGGTCGAGACTTTTTAAATGCCAAGAACCTCCACAACCGTGAAGTGTGCAGTCTCAGGGATTATTTCCTTACCAATGAGTGCGGAATGCATCGTGATGTTGCGGCAGTTGACAAAAGCCTCACGCCGCTCTCCTTCTAGAACGAGAACTGGCGCAAGCCGCGGATCGGAATGACGTATCGGATTTGCATCTTGTGTAAAATTATAGTTAAAATTATATTAAGTTCGTCCATAGATGTTTGCTTGGGTTCTTCGAAACATGAGGAATCTTTTTCAGCGTCCACAGCTTCCATAATGCGAGCCAAACGTGGGTTCCGGAAATACATCACCTGGAGCAAATAAATGCTTTTAATCTATATTTTATTATAGACTAAAAAAAATGTTTCACTATTGTAACTAGGCATACCTATCATAAAATTTACTCATTGCTTATTGAAAAACTGTAATTAACGAAATAGGCACCCTTTAGTGATAAATTTTATTAGATAAGTACCTAAAAAAATAAAGGCAAACTGTGACTATACCAACTGTTACCGTTTACCAAAGAAATTGTATAATGAATTGTGTATTTTTTTAAACGAAAACTGTGTTTAAACATATAGTCACACTTTACTCATTAAAAAAACTAAACAACTTACCTTTTTTGTGACGAACGGCCGTTACTATCCAAATAATCACACTATGAATTTAAACTTTCGTCATCACTCCGCAACAAACACGTTCTTACTTGCATAGACCCGTTATTGTATTTAGCGAGCCGTTCAAAGTTTGGCTTAGTAACGTTATGCTTTAACGCTAAATGGCGTTAGAAGGCAATTTTGAAGAAGTGGTCTATTTTATCTTGTAGTTTACGTGTCCTTTAGTAAGATGGCGTTGATAACTCATTTTTGCGAAAAATTCGTTTAGTAACGGTTTAACTTTAAAGGTGCGATAATTTTAAATTAAATCCCGGATACTTGAACTATTGTTTTCGGGTACGGTCTCAGTGGAATCCGTTCTAGATACATAAGAAGTTCATGAGTACCCAAAGTTTTAATAAAAGTAAAGCACCATTTTCAGAATATCACGCAATAGAATAGCAAGTGAACAAACTGTATCAATTCTCTTTTCGTACCATCGGAAAAGTTCATAGTTTTTCAATCACAATCTTAATTGACTATTTCGAGTACTCGATTTCAATTTGTACAATTGGCAAGGCTGCCAACAGCGCCCCCTACAACGAAAACAAATTTTCGGCTATGAAAACGGCGCTAGCAAAACTTTTATTATACCAATCCCTGTTTTCAATCAACAACAGACCAGAATACATTCCAGTTTTGGGACTATTTCGTTTATGTTTTGGTAATATTTCAGCAAAAATTACATGTATTTAGGTCGTAAAGTTGAGTATTTTTGTTTAAATGTAATCTTTTGACTTTAAACTTTAAAACTGTACTGTAGAATAGTTTAATAATTAAGGTTTTACTTATACTACGGACCATAAAGTAAGAAAAAAAGACACATTTAAATGCCGCTTTATCGTGACAGAAATTTAACTAAAGCTGTTTTGAAGAAAAAGCAATTTGGAGTCAAAAAGGGACACGACGAATTTTACACTAGGGACATGTACCACTATTTATTAACTAAGTAGACCATAGATATGCATAGTTAAAGTATTTTACATTCTTATAGATATTTCTTGCAAATGTTTATATTATGCATAATCTTTTTCTGTCCGTGGTGCATAATCTTTTTTCTTAAAGGTTTTAAACCTTTGTTCGTCACCTGTCATCCGCTTTGCAATGGAGGGAAGTCGAACCTTAATTTCGAACTCCTCCTATGTTCTTCTGATTAATTTCGTTGCGGGTCCAATGACAGTTTAACTTTCCCCCGGGGCAAACTTGACCTTCGTTGGTTGGGTTTTTGTGGCGGTCAAGCTGTAGATCCTGGCTACACAGGAGTTGCAGTGGTGGGAACGAGAGGTGGGAATAGTCCCGTTAAAAATGTTTATATTATGTAGGTATTGTCGAATCTATGACCTCAAGCATAGTAACTTCTTACCAAACAGGTTGGATAAGTGGTAATATAATTGTAATAATAAATAATTAGGTACTAAAATAGTTTTATTCATTGTTATCTTGAAATTAAGAAACTGAATTATTGAATAGAAGTCTGGAACCTATTACCCAGCCAAGCGGTAAGAAAGTTGTATTCACAAGTTGTTTACAAATTTCGTGATAACAACAACAACCTGAAAATTGCTGTATACCTTCAGAAGTTACCAAATCAAGCAACAGCTAAACAACTTTTAAAGGAACTACTAATACTTGGAAAAGACAACTTTAATACTTAAAGCACTCAAGATCGACCCTTTGAGGTAACAAGTAACTTAGAAGAAGATTAACTATCCAAGTTCAGAAATCGAGAATCGATTATCGGAGAAACGACTTTGAGAGTAATGTAACAAGTAACAATTTTGAACACTTCTAACCACATTTTTGTAGGACAGATTGTCTTGTAATCTATACTATTAATATAAATGCGAAAGTAACTCTGTCTGTCTGTCTCTCTTTCACGTCTAAACCACTGAACCGATTTTGATGAAATTTGGCATAGAGATACTTTGGAGTCCCGGGAAAGGACATAGGATAGTTTTTATCCCGGTTTTTGAATCAGGGACGCGCGCGATAAAGTGTTTCTGTGGCAGACAAAATTCCACGCGGGCGAAGCCGCGGGGGGGAAAGCTAGTCTATACTAATATTATAAAGCTGAAGTTGTGGAACATGACGCTCAACCACCATAAGGAGTTAAAGCATTTAATTTACACAATCTTGG